GGGGTTAGCGCCATCCACTTGTTGCGGCGTTGCATTAAGGGGAGACCAATCCCGCACAGGGTTGAGGGGGCCCTTGGGGCCCTTGGAGGCCAATAAAACGAGGTAGAAACATGTGCCCTCACGAAAAGGTCAATACACGGACTGATGCTGTAGGCTCTGATCTAGACATATGTTTCGAAGAACTCATCGAACTATCAACAACCGCACTTCAACGTGTCGATGACAACACCTAACATACACAGCCCAAACTAGACCCCCGATGAACTCCCCTTACAATGCCCCAGACAACGGATGGCCTTTCGAAGCGTTTTCCGTTCACCCGCAGTGAGACAAGCATCTGTTCATTGGACAGCCTGATACCGAGGTCCATGTAACGTACTAAAGTCCCTCTCAAACACACACGGACCTGAGTCAGACTTGGAGGCGTCTACAAAGTTGTTGACGGGGCCCTCGTTGAAGAAGAACCCGAACATGCCGCGGATGTAGCCGCCGGTTGCCTCGTGCCCGTGCTCCTTGGCAGCGGCAAGGATTCCCTCCACCATGCGCTTTGACAAGGCCTCGAGCTTCTCGTAGGATCCGGGCCTCTGGAGGATCTCAAGGGTCTGCGTCCGCAGGTGCCGATTGGCGGGTAGGTGCGGTCGGAGACGAGCATGAAACACAAAGAGATGGGTCGTCAGGACCGTTCGTTTCAGACGTCGACCAGTCCTTCTACATTATTCGCACTTTCATCACTTCCATTAAACGTTCGAAAATATTCGCAAAAGCTCCTACGAGATATGTTCCACGTCAAATACGGTCTAAATATCCCGGAAAAAAAAAATGAATAAATGAAATGAACGTAGCTACACTACTCCAGTATGACCCTGGCTGGTGCGTCCACAGATTTGTATCGGAAACGTGCAATTCACGACGTCCTCGTGCTATATGCATACATGTATACAACAAGCGTACGCGACTTGCATAACGTAATTGTTGGTTTTAGAAAAGCGCTAATCTAACCAAAAATAACCTTGTGCCTTTCCGCTTAGGCCACTACAATCTACAGCAGTGTACACTATCCGGGGAAAAATCGGCCACAATCCACGCCGCAACGCACCTTGATTCCCGCGGTCATGGCCAGGGGATTGCCCGAGAGGGTACCCGCCTGGTACATGGGGCCCGCCGGCGCCACCATCTCCATGATATCCTTGCGACCGCCGTAAGCGCCAACGGGAAGGCCACCTCCGATCACCTGAGGTCACGTGCGACGGTAGCAGCGGGCGGACGAGAGCAAGTCAAGGCCTTTGTCTCCAGTCATCGACGGGTCGGGCAAATCTTGTCCATGTGCGGGCACGTCAAGGGGAGTTCGTTTCTGCTTCAATCATGGCCACGGAAAGAGAGAAAAGCAAACGACGGCGTTTCTCAAGGGTTAGGTTACCGATAGCGCGACTGACACACAATAAACAAATGTCGTCAGGGAACACCAGAGAAAATCCTATAACACCCACACACACGCCCGTCCATGGGAAAATTACTCACATGTCCTGTGGATAGCGGACTGTACATTATAGCGCAAGAACTATTCTCACGGTTTCAGTGTGCTGGCAAGCGTGTTTTATGCTATGCTCACCTTGCCCATAGTCGTCACATCGGGGGTGACGCCAAAGTAGTCCTGAATGGGGTAGTAGTAGTATGCAAGAAAGGTGCATGGAAACCAGCGATGTTGTCGTTGTTGTCATCAGGCCATGTCCGTCGAAGACCATGTGCCGATATCCAGCACAAACGGGAGTACAGGAGAAGAAAACGAACGAGAGAAAGCCAGGGAGGGAGAGAGAGACAGACAGACAGACAAGACAGACAGACAACCCGATGATCAGCATCTAGGGACGAAAAAAGTAAAGCACCGCAGCGTCGAAAAACAGCTTCCACGCGCATGCATCAACACAGCAGGTGTTTAAGGCGTGAAACGGTTCTGAAATTAGCGATACGTTACATGGGCGTGGCGGAGAAAAATCACCTGTGCGCCGCCGTAGGCGATGCGGAAGCCGGTCATGACCTCGTCGAACACCAAAAGAGCGCCGTACTTGGTGCACAGCTCGCGGCATCCCTTGAGGAACTCCGGGGTGGGCTTGATGAAGCCAGAGTTGCCGACGACAGGCTCGAGGATGACGGCGGCCACGTCACCGCCCTTGATCAGCTCCTCCACGTTCTCGAGGTCGTTGTACGTGGCGACGAGCGTGTTCTGGGTCGACCCCTGGGGTACGCCTGCGTGGTCCGACCAACCAACAACCCAACGCATTGGACGAAACCAGGGTTACATATTCGCTTATGTATACGATGGATTACGTACAATATCCTTGCCCCTTCATAACTTTCGTCCCCCACTGTCCTCGATCTCAAAAAACGCAATTCGCTGGATGGATAGGAACACGTGCATACAAACCATCACAGAAATACGACCGTTTCAAGATACAACCACGCTATTATAGTGGGAGGACATGTGTGTCAACACTTCCCTTCGGAGAGGTTTCGTTTCCCTTGTGAGCCATCAAGCGTCAGTTTCATTGCACCCGACACATTGCAATTTCATGGGGTGCCTTGCTAGGGCGAGCGGCGCTACAATATCCTCACCGGGGGAGTCGGGGAGTCCGAGGGTGGCGACACCGGATCCAGCCTGCACCAAGAAACCGTCGGCGTGCCCGTGGTAGCACCCATCGAACTTCACGATCTTCTCGCGCTTGGTGAAGGCGCGGACCAGCCGGAGCATGCCCATGCACGCCTGTGGCAATCGATCGGGGTGGAGGTGGTGCACAGTGCGAAACCATCAACCATCAGAGAGGAGACCGGCGGTTCGTGGATGATAGAACAATACTAGCGAATAATCTCAGTCGAAAGGGTGAAAATGAAAGCTCGACAAATCAGAAGCATTCTTCGTTCTCCACCGGCTGCGCGCGCGAGAATATCATGAGGCCCACAGAGCACGCCACACGGTAGTGCTGCTGGGCCAAATCCATCAACCATCAAGCGAGGTCCACCTTGTGCTGGAGAGTGTCTCGGGCGCACGGAAGCTCCCTCACTCTCAGCTGCAGCAGGGGGGTGCCGGTACTATTCATACCGAGAGACCCGACCAAATCAACACCAATGGCGCCGACACGCGCAGCTGCAACCCAACCTCTTTCCGACCACTACTGGCAAGCTCACGCCCACACTGAAAGCGCGTTTGCGCGTAATCGTTTTTTTCCCGTCACAAGATTAGCGTGACGCCTTACGTGATTGGTCTGCCGGTGAGCGCGGCAGATGCAAAGTACAAAAACACGCTCAACACACGCGAGAAGGGTATCAACGGGAGCCCATATTCAACAATTTTTCTACGCCCCGCCAGAAACGACCTCATTCTGTTGGTCGCGGCCCCTCTCCACCACGGGCGATCCCAACACCACAAAAAGAAAACTCTTTCGGAACTACGCCATCACGCCCCACCTCGTACTACTTCTGTATGGCACAAAAGATCGGAACACGTCGACACAGGACAGGGGATAGACCGACCTCCGTGCCGGAGTTGGTGAATCGGACCATGTCCACCGACGGCACGGCGTCGACGACCATCTTGGCGAGGGTGTTCTCGTGCAAGGAGGGGGCGCCGAAAGACGTACCCTTTTCGAGCGTTTCCTTGAAAAAAAAAAAAGACAAGCAAGCACTCATCAGTATATCGAAACCCGGCGTAAAAAATGTGCGGCAAGAAGCGGTGAACCGGCGACAAAGGAGATTGGACAAGGGAAGGAGCAGCAGTGTGGACGTGAGGTTCGTGTGAGCATCCACCATACGCGAGAGAGCGTTTGTAAGCTACATGCACGCTCACGTCTCGGGTGTGTACCATAACGACCAAACTTAACATTGCCGGCGTGTGTACAACGCCAGACCATCAGTTTGCCAGAATGAGTACCATGATAACCAGCGCTCGCGCAATTCCCAAGCCAATTCGTGTTGGTCGATCACCGCTATACTTACGTCCGAGCCTGCAGCAACCCTTATCGGAACAAATGCTATCTGTTTCGTTCTCCCTCTCATCAAAGACGACCGTTTCTGCACGCGCTGTTGGCGCCAGAACGTCGGTTGTTGGTAAGCAAGCACCAACTCACTAATAGCAGTAGTGGAGAGGGCGGGTTCGCAAACTCTTTAACTGTACCTGTTTAGCGACATGCCCTGTACAAGGCGACCACACAATCGCGTGGCGCCACTTCACCCCGGATTTGTGGCCGCTACACCGGCTTGCCCTGTTTAGCGACCAGATCGCCTCTGGGCACTAACGGGTTAGTTAGCCCGGCCCACTACCGTTAGACCTCGAGAGATGATGTGTCCGGTCAAGTCGCAATTTAGGCCAACAGATACATACTTCAAGACAAATCAACCTGCTGTTGTATGCTATGCAAAGTGCTGTACCTTGATGGCGTCGAGAACCTCGTCGTCAGCGTGGCCAACGATGGCCGGCCCCCACGTGCCGACGTAGTCGGTGTACTTGTTCCTGTTAAGAGTAGGAGATATTTCACAAAATTGGACGTTTTGAATGACAAGGTGGAGAGCAGTGGACAACATGCCGATGGGCGATTAAAAAAGTCAACAGACAACTATAAAAAACAATCGGACTGATGTACAACACTGGACACGAGAATTTTTTCCAGATAATGTGATGTACCGCTTGCCTTTCTTCAACATCAACAACAGCTAGTAGATAGATCACAGGTAAATAGTGCCGAGCTGCAAGACGGCAGCGGTATCGAGAGGCGGCAATCGAGCAACAAGCGCTTGAGAAGCTCTTCCTGCCATCCCTTGCACTTCGTACGGCAAAAGAGCTCCTTGGATTGCTATGCGTACAACGTACGGAGGACAACGCGGCAGACATGGAACATGCTGGATCATGTGCTTTTCCCGCCGTTTCTGCAATCTAGGCACTGAAGACACAAAGAGAAAACGGCCACCAGCAACCCCTACAACAGCGCAAACCAAACAAGATGCGTGTAGAGCTGCAGCATCAGCTAGCAAAGCTGGTACACCCCGACACCCGTTTGCCAGGACTATAATGATGTGTTAAACATACTACCTGTAGAGGTCAGGGGATCGCATGGCGGTACAGCCGCATCTTAATGTGATGTGTGTAAGAGCTCCTGTGAACCCACCCGTCCACATCCCAGGCGTAGGCGCCCTTGACGCGCTCGAACACTATCGGGTTTCCGCCCACCGACTTGAACGCGCGCACGGGAGAGCTCACGCCTCCCGGCATGATTCCCTGCGAGCGGTCCGACGGGATAAGCACGTCAGGAGCGTGTTGATGGAAGGCGGCAGGCAACAAGCAGGCGTTGGAGAGCAGCAGGCGGCAGCGGCCAGCACCTTGACTTTCCAAGGATCGGGATGCATCGAGTCATCGAGTCCCGAGGTGAAAATAGTCAAATAGAGGAAAACAAAGGTAGAAAATACTACGCGCAGCAACGAAGGTATCGCGTGGGTGATGTGCACGGCATCGGTGCACTGCAGATCCCGCCAAGCGCTTTGGGTAGGCGAGGCTGTAGCTTGTAGGAGCACTGCAGACACACCTCCCGAGAACCGCATACATACACGTGTCCACAGACACTCGCCCAAATGATGTTCATGTTAGCCTTCCTACCGATCCCGTTGGCTTTCCTCGGCCTCGCGTGCACACCCGAGGGATTGCAACGTCGCCACCGGTCCCGGCATACCTTAGCCTCTTCGAAGGTCTCCTCCGACTTGGTGGTGACGAAAGTCTTGGAGGGAGACGCCGAAACCATGGTGGGGGTCGAAGATGCGGCCGTGGAGGCGCGGGTCGAGGTAACCACAGCGGGAGCGATGAAGGCGGAGCCGGGCTCCGCGGAAAGGAGGCACGCCGCCGTCGTCACGGCCAGAGAGATTGCTCGGCCTCCGTTGAAATCCATCTCTTTGCCTGTTGTGTCTATCGAGAGGTGAGCAGCAACGCGAGCTTGTGGTCGTTGCAGCAGCAGGCAAAAGGATGATGCACCGAAGGCGAGAGCGCAAAGAGAGCCGCCGAAAAAGACGGGGGCACGCAGACAGAGATATTTGGAGGAGCGGTGGGCGCGGGGCGGGGGGCGGTGAAACCTCGGACAGAAGATATGCCGCAGACCGCAGACGACACGCATGCTGCTCCTCCTCACTGACGCTTTACTCTCTATCTTGCGTGCTGAGAGGCGAGGAGAGACTCAAACGTCAACCTGTCGAGACGTTGGGTGCTGATTGGCTCAAGTATCAAACCTCTTAGCTATCAAAGCGTGTTTATTATTTTGCTTTATCAAATGCATACGATTAAGAGGACGTGTTCGTCCACTGACGACGGAGCAACTCCAACGGGCCGTGCTACCACGAAGAGCAACAGCGACAGCAGCGACAGTACCAGCAGAGAGGCGCCGGTCGACAAAAACGTGCACGGGGGATATCAGAACGGAAGCGCGGTCTACAAAGCTCTCGGCCTGGTGTGCAGTAGTGGGTTTGACAACGTGGGTTGCGAGTCGACTCTAAGCCTCGTGTGCGTTTCGTACTGCAACATCCTGCGGGAGAGTCTGGGTTGGAAATTGACCGTGCAGCGAAGCACACCAGCTCGCTTCATCAACCTCCTTCACCCTGCTGCTGACGCTGGTGCGAACGAGGGGCGTTGTGGCAGGATTCGAGTTCCAGTGGCAATCCATCATCTCACGTGAGCATCGTGGTCATCACGTCGGGTCGTGTATGCTCTGCACGAATAATATTCTTCAGCAGTTTCAGCATAATCTTTTCCGGGAGGAGGAAGTACTCGACGTACTTCCTACTCAGTGCAAGAACCCCGTTCGAGATACATAGCAACCCAGTCAAGGCATAATGTTAAAGGCTTCCTTGTAGAAGCTGCTTTCAACCTGCTGTAGGGTTAATAGGTAAAGTTATTTGCGCAATGTCAACATTAATGAAAGGACGCTCATGCCGCCTGAAAGTTTTGACCCAGCGGGATGTGATGTGTAACATGTACGGTATGATACACACAGTCGTTGTTGTTGTTGTTGTTGCTGTTCTTGTTCTTGTTCTTGTTCTTGTTCTTGTTCTTGTTCTTGTTCTTGTTGTTCTTGTTGTTGTTCTTTTTCTTGTTCTTGTTCTTGTCTTCACATTGAAACCGTTCCGATCTCTCTCTACCCAGTACCTTCGTATGTCCGTACTGATCCAGCACTCGGCGCGGTCGATTCCCGTGGTCACAGGTCAACTTACCCTAAAAAGGTACACTCAAATATACTGGCCCCGAGGGGTCCGCAAGTCAATAGAAATCAACGACAGATTTTCTGGAGTCCTCCACTCCCTCTGCGCGCTATGCGAGGTAACAACTGAGACTAGGAGTCACCATCGCGGGCCGGAGAGAAAGAGGTACACTCCCTTGGTTCAATCATGGTACGTCACAACGCAAGCAGCGAGGCCATCTGGCGCAGAAAAAGCGAGAGAAAAAAAAGAGAGAAAAGGAGAAACAGAGAAATAGAGGGAAAAGAAAAGGAAACAGTAAGGAAAGAGAAACAAAATGGAAGAGAGCGACGACAAAAAGGGACCAGGCCGAACATGACAAGAAACAAGAGACAGAAAAAGGCACACGGTGGAGAGACCACGAACGAACAAGCAATCACGCAAACATGGCCACCAACCAGCGATACATTGTAATGGTACGTCATCACTAGTGGGGGGTTGGTGCAATGGTGCAGCGTTGGGGGGGGGTAATTGGCTAAAAGAAATTCAATCCGGCACGTATCGCGCCACTCGGTCCGTATCTTCTCGTTTGCTTTCTTCCCTCGCCGCCTCGTCCGTCTCCTGCCCCCCTCCCGCCCCATTGGTCGCTGTATTGTGGTTTCGTTTGAGCGCCCATTGTCGGCTGGCCTCTTCCTTCCTTCTCGTGCCAGGAGGTCATGAACCTCTCAGCTCCCTGCAGCACCGCCGCNTCGTCCGTCTCCTGCCCCCCTCCCGCCCCATTGGTCGCTGTATTGTGGTTTCGTTTGAGCGCCCATTGTCGGCTGGCCTCTTCCTTCCTTCTCGTGCCAGGAGGTCATGAACCTCTCAGCTCCCTGCAGCACCGCCGCATGCCAGGGTACTCCCCACTCCACCTTCGCGTCTTCCGTCCAATTTAACGTCGGGGCCGTGTCTTTCGGTACCGGGATTCCGAGACAACAGGGATTGGTTTTCGTAGATCCGTGGTCGGCCCCGAATGTCTTCAGGTCGTCAAGCATACACTTCGGCCAGCTCTGTTCCTGTCCCCCCCTACGTCGCTTCTCCCCCCC